AAAAAAAAAAAAAAAAAGAAAAAAAAAAGGGAAGAAAAAGAAAACAAGCACAACAAAACTGCTCTCCGGGACTCCCCGGACAATCCCAAACCCGGCTCTTCCCACCGAGCCAAAACCACTAGATCGCCATAACAGGCTCCAAAGCGGGGTTACCACAGACAGCGACGTCCCGGGCGGACCCGCAGCTCCCACGGCAGTGACCCCCGCCCTCTCTCCTGCCCTCCCTCCTGTCCTCCCTCCTGTCCTCCCTCCTTCCCTCCCCGCCGGGAGGGAGAGGCCGGAGCGACCCCACCGCCCGTCCCCGCAGGGCCGCCGGCTCTTTCCGCCCGGGAACGTCCTCGCAGCTCCGGGGAAAGCCCTAAAAAAAGCACTTTTGTTTTAGTAAGACCTTTAATGTCACTATTAGCGGTTAGTACAATAGACGCTCGCTTTCGGAAAGGGATTACTCACTCCTCGGGCTTTATTTATTTATTTAATTCATTAGCGAACCTCTTCCGAGTGGGTATGAAAATCAGATGAAACAGCTGCGATTCGCCTTGATTTTCTTAAAATATACATTCATGGTTTAAATGAGAACAGAAGACTCTGTATGTTCCTAGTAATTTCTATTGTCTGCATATCGGAATAAGGAAGGTCTAAGATCTACCGCTCCGTCGTTTTATTCAGATTATTTTGTATAGCGCAAATTATCTTTTGGGTCACATAATAATTAGCTCTCTCTCTCTCTCCCCGGTTTAAACAACCATAAATGTCCAGTTGAAAAAGCAGTTTTGGATAACGTCGGGCACGGGGGAGGGAGAGGGTGACGATTTAACCAGTCTGCCATAACCGGAGGGCAGAGAATCGCGGATTTTAAACACGATTTATTCTCGCCTCTCTTACTTTCATTAACTCATTTTCAGTTAAAAAAAAAAAAGAAAGAAAGAAAGAAAGAAAGAAAGAAAAAAAATGCTGACAGTCAAGACAGAAGAAGTTCCATGGTGTATTTTTGTTCTAAAGCAACAAATACCTTGGAAAAAAATTTAAAAAAAAAAAATTGAAAAAACTAAACCCCGAGAGAAGACGGTGTCGCAGAGCGGGAGAGCGGGGGAGGCTGTAGGTTGTGTCCCCTGACTTTTAACTCCTCAATCTCAAGGTCGGAGCGATACCGCAGGGCGCAAACTGTGATATCGGAGCACGAAATTGTGCCTGGCGAGTCTCGCACTCTGAGGGGTGAAAGGGGCTGGGGTAGAAATCCCCTTTCTCTGTCACTCCTTGGAGTCTGATCGGGCGCCTCTGCGGCAGGATCTGAGAGTTCGGTCCATAATGTGCATCTTCGGGAAAAGCCTGGCCGGGCTGAGCAGGAGACCTGTCTGAACCATTTTACAAGCCCTGCAGAAGCGCTGGGATCAGTCACCTCTCTGAGGGGCTCAAACTTTTCCTAAATTATGTTTTGGCTCGCTCTGGAAATAAGGGGGGAGAAGCTAGAAGCTATCCACCGAGGTTTTTAAAAGCACAGTCCTCTCTCTCTCTCTTTTTCCCTCCAGTCTAGACAGAGCTGGAAACCAGGTTTGGAGCTGGACAATGTTTCTGATCGCTCTGGCCTCAGCTAATCCTGGCCTAGCACACAAGCTGGTGGCCTCTCAGGCCTGTTCCTCCCACCCTGACACCCCTTTAAGCCTTGGGGGGTGATGCCACTGTGAGGGCCCGGGTGCCCCCATCCTTCGGGGGCAATTCCTGTGGGATCGAGGGCACCGAGGGAGCCTCTTACATGCCCACCTTTATTTCAAGCCCCAGAACTTCAGTGTCTCTCACCCACCCATAGGGTCTAGTGCTCTCAAAAGGGCTCTTTCCCCAGGTCTCGATGCCCCAGGATTTAAGATGTTGTACTGAGAGGCCTTTCCGGGTTGTCGGGCTCCCCCTCCCCGTAAAGCCAACTGGAAACCAGTAGCCGAGCATGAGGAGGGAAGGGACGACGGATGGACGGACGGATGGGGACCCTTCTCTCCTCCTTCCACAGGCAAATCCCGAGGGAGAGGGAAGTCGGGGTGACACGGGACTGTGCCATCGAGCAGCGCCCCCCCAAAAAACGTCCTATTCCAGCCCTTGAGGTGCGGGCGCTGCCCGCAGCCTCCTCTTCCCGCCTCCTCCCTCTCCCCTTCTCCCTCCCAAGCACTAAACACTCGTCTCGGGAACCGAAGGCGCTTATTCCCCCGGCCTGTCATCCCTGGATGCAAAGCTTTGGTTTTAAATGTGTTTCCACCCGTACTTAAGACGATGAAAGATCAGGAATTCGCTGTATGCATTTAAACGTTGCCCTTAATAAGCAGAGTGTGCAGAAGCGCACGCCCGGCCTGTTTAAGG